CGGCTGGAGCAGCGTAGGCTTGTGCCGATGCACCAGATCCACTGACAGTGTTCAAGTATGACGACATTCCTGGTCCACTGACAGGTGCATTCTTGGGGACACTGTCGAGGTACGAAGTGATTCCTGGTCCACTGACAGATGGGTTCTTGGGGACAGTGTCAAGATAGCTAGCAATTCCTCGTCCACTTGGTGGAGTAGAGCTGAAGGCTGGAGCAGCTTGGGCAGCAGCAGCAGGGGTTGATGCAGCTGGAGTAGACGCGACTGGAGCAGAGTAGGCTTGAGCTGATCCACCAGATCCACCACCGACAGTGTTCAGGTATGACGACATTCCCGGTCCACTGACAGGTGCGTTCTTAGGGACACTATCGAGGTAAGAAGTGATTCCTGGTCCACTGACAGATGGGTTCTTGGGGACAGTGTCAAGATAGCTAGCAATTCCACGTCCACTTGGTGGAGTAGAGCTGAAGGATGGAGCAGCTTGGGCAGCAGCAGGTGCAGATGCAGTTGGAGTAGAGTATGCCTGCGCAGCTTGGGCACCTGAAGCAGATCCACCACCGACAGTATTCAAATAGGAAGCCATGCCAGCTCCACTGACTGGAGGGTTTCGTGGAACAGTGTCAAGGTAAGAAGTGATTCCTGGTCCACTGACAGATGGGTTCTTGGGGACAGTGTCAAGATAGCTAGCAATTCCTCGTCCACTTGGTGGAGTAGAGCTGAAGGCTGGGGCAGCTTGGGCAGCAGCAGCAGGGGTTGATGCAGCTGGAGTAGACGCGACGGGAGCAGAGTAGGCTTGAGCAGATCCACCAGATCCACCGACAGTGTTCAAATAGGAAGACATTCCTGGTCCACTGACAGGTGCATTCTTGGGCACACTGTCAAGGTAAGAAGTGATTCCTGGTCCACTGACAGAAGGGTTCTTGGGAACAGTGTCAAGGTAGCTAGCAATTCCTCGTCCACTTGGTGGAGTAGAGCTGAAGGCTGGGGCAGCTTGGGCAGCGGCAGCAGGGGTTGATGCAGCTGGAGCTGATGCGGCTGGAGCAGCGTAGGCTTGTGCCGATGCACCAGATCCACTGACAGTGTTCAAGTATGACGACATTCCTGGTCCACTGACAGGTGCATTCTTGGGGACACTGTCGAGGTACGAAGTGATTCCTGG